ATTTCATAGACACCCCAAAGCCAACTTGTCCCAAAGTGAAATCATCGTCTTCTTCCCACTGCCCATCCCTCAAACAAACAGTAAACAATCAAATGGACCTGTTCCATACCCCTGTACCTGTCTTGGGTGAATGGTACCAACATCTACTCAAATTCTGAAAATACAAATCTAAGATTCATTTAAAGACTATTCTGCCATGATATCACTACCATAATCTTTCTAGAATGTAAATCTGACCATGACATTCTACTAGTTCAACGAGTTCCCATTAACCTATAATTAACAATCAAAAACTTCTTAGCATGTCACTCAAGGCATTCCCCAGTCCCTGTATATTTTTCCCAGCTTCTTCTCTTGTCACTTGTCCTCTGGCAACCTGTGATCCAGCCATTCTATTTGTCATTTCCCAAATATACACCAGGCTCTCCTAAGCTTTTGGGCTTTATAAATGGACCTCCCCTCTAGTCACAGCTTCCCTCCCCCTTAATAGTATCCCTGTCTACCCTGTGGAGTCTTGTTCAACTTCCAAGACTCAGCTCATGGTCATTCTCCTGTGTGAATTTTTCTCTGATACACAGACATTCACACTTGCCCTTTGGGTATAGTTAGGTGTCTCCCTTTTCTGTTCACACAGAGCTGTATGCACATATTATAACAATATTTATCACATATAATAATTGTGGTGTACATCTGTCTTCCCTACTATACTCTGAGTTCCTTGACAGTAGATACAGTTTCTCATTCATCTTTTTATTCCTAAAACTTAACAGTGACTGTTCTATGGGGGTGCTCTATAAATTTTTTTCTTTTTTTGAATATGTATTTGGATCTGACACATATACCTGGATGTACTTCTAGATATCTGAAAGAAACAAACTATGACTAGAGTTTCTGTGGAAAATTTCCTTTCTGTGGGCATTGGGGCTGCTCTATGACCCAGTTTATGTGTCGTTTTCTGCAACCTATGTCAATTCTTCCCTTTCCTTCAAATTGATATTCAGCTCTTGATATTCAAGAGTTTACTGTCAACTCTATGATTCTCAAAAAATAAACCTGTGAGTAAAGTGTTTAATTACCCATTTAGGAATATGGATTCAGCTGGCTTTACATTTCATAAAGATTCACAGACTGATGCCCCCAAAGATGAGCTGCTTAGCCTTAATCTAAGTATAGATGAGCTGTCTACTAGATAGACCAAGAGTCTATCCAGTCCAATATTCTAACATACTGCTGACTTACTTTAATTTATGGAGGGCTTTCTATAAAAAGCTGACATTTATTATAATTTTAATACACCTTTTGACAATGGAAGTTGAGGCTTAGGGATTATTTCAGTCTGCTCAGGCTGCTATAACAAAATACCATAGACTGGGTGGCTTAAATAACAGATATTTATTTTCTCACAGTTTTGTAGGCTAGAAGTCCAAGATCAGGGTGCCAGCACAGTTGGGTTCTGGTGAGGGTTGTCTTCCTGGCTTGCAGATGGCTGCCTTCTTGCTATGTGCTCACATGGCCTTTCTTCAGTGCCTGTATATGAAGAGAGAGAGAGCTCTGGTGTCTCTTCCTGGGGTGTTAATCTCATCATAGGGGCCCCACCATCATGAGGTCATCTAAACCTAATTACATCCCAAAGGTCCCACCTCCAAATATTATAACATTAGGGGTTAGGGCCTCAACATATGAATTCTGGTGGGGGACAAAAACATTCAGTCCATAAACTGATTAAACCACTTTCCCATGGGTACTCAAATAATCCAGTAGCAGGGCACATGCTGACTTCAAATATTGTTTTCTTTTCCCTAATAATTTGTCTTTATTGCTTTTTATACATAGGTACTCCAATAACTAGCATTTTAAAATGCAAAATGTTACAGTTCTCATTGATTATCTCTGATGTATTCCCTAAAACATGAATCACCCTTTAATGCTTATTTTTCATATATGTTTATCCCTATTTCTCAACTGTTTTAGTGAAGGCAAACAATATAGGGTCTCTCTCCCTCTCGCTCTTTAAAGTTTTCTGAGGGAAAAAAAAAAAGGAACTGGGCTCTTGGTGCTTCTGGCAATTTTATTCTAACACAAGTACCACCCAGATTGTAATTCTGATAAGTATTTCAGCTCTTTCTTGAAAAATTAAATTCACAAAACAATTGATTATCAGTTATAAATGGCAAAAACACCATCTGGTTTTCAAAATTGGTTACATCCATGCAGCAAGGGGAAAAATGTTGGAATTTGTAGTTGGCGAGGAGTTCTAGTCCACGAAGCAGAAAATGACGAGCTTTACTATGAGAAAGTCAGAGTAGTCATAACTTGTATTTAGCGGCTGCGGGAATTTGATACGTTCCTCACATGTTCCATATGTTAAATCGCTTGGCGAGATCTTCAGTGTGAAAGAGCTGAGGGTGGGAGAGGAGTGTGGCTAGTGGATAGGGTAGCAACAGCTTAATCCTAAATTTTCAGCTCTGGTTCTTTCCATGTAGACCCAGTGCTACAGATGTCCCATGACCTGGGAAATGGGATGTGCAAGTTCCTTAAACTTATGGCAGAGGTGGCCTTTTCTGGTGGAAATTTCTAAAGCTATTTGCATTTCTCTGGTGAGGTAAGTCATACAGCATTAGCATTTCCTACAGAAATGTCCCATGTTGTTCTTTGCCAACTGGAAATTTGAGTAGGTGTTCATTTGATGTGCCAAGAGAATGGAGATGAAAACACTCCACATCTTCCAATGTCCCCATACTGTGTTCCTAGTGTGGGAGGATTGGGGCCTGACTAGATTCTCTTGGAGATTCAGCCTCATGAGGAATGCTTTTCCTTAGGAGTATAATGCAATCCTGTTATTTAAAAAAATGTTTCTGAGTTGCCGGCATATTTTCACCTTATGTTAAAAATGTAGCTATCCTATGCTTATTATTCATGCATTGTAATGTGAAATTTATTCATTGGCTTAACAAATATTTATTGAGGCACAGTATAGCATAGTAGTTAATTGCATAAGCTCTGTCTGCACCTTAGAAACTTTGACCTTGGGGAAATGACTTAATCTTTCTAACTATGTTTAAAAAATATAAAATAGGAGATAAAAATAGTATGTACTGTGGGGATTGTTCCAAAGGTTAAATGAGATTATACATGCAAAATACTTAATAAAAACACAATAAATGCAAAAGTAGTAATGATAATAATAGCAAATATTAATATTATTATGCACAAGCTCTGTGCTAGGGTGCTGGAGTTCCTGGCTTATAGGACCTTACTTTATAGTTTACACATCACTTTCAGCATACATAACTGTATTTTTTATCCTGATTTTGGTGGGACTCTGCTTTGCATTTGGTCTGATCCAGGTAGCTTTACTTCCAGAGGTGATAAGAATAGGTAAGACTTTGCATACTGGACAGTATCCCAGTGACCACGTGGTGATGGTCTCCTGCCTCATGCAGTGCTATTTGCCTGCTGGAGCTTTCCCGACTTCTGGAGGACTGCCTGCAGTTCATGCATGGGGCCTGTAATTACAGAGCAGAATATCCAGGGCTGCGAAGACAGGGCAGTCTTGAAATTAGTTTATGCATAATGGATAATATGAGGCCGTTTTTAAGCGTAACTCATTTGGTGGGTTGGCAGATCTTGACTTCCTTTTTGATATGTAACATTTATTTATTTATTATTTTTTTAGCGAGATGAGGACAGAGGGCCTGGCAAGACATTTGGTGCAGCTCTTTTGGACTATAGCTCAGACTTAGTAATTTACATTCAGTAATCTCTTGGTCATTTAGCCATAGATAATTTGTCATGGTTTGTTTTAGCTGTTGTGATATTGATATTTATTATGCAAATTGTATTTCCTACATCTTATTGTTCTGCATTCTATGAATACTTAAATTATTATAAACCTTTACACTTAATATGGCTCGTCCTTCAATTTGATGCTTGAGCAACAGAGGGTCAGAGCGCACACGATCTTCTAGAGGGGAAGAAAATAAGTAATTAAAAAGCAGACAAACAAGAGAGCCGGCTGCTTGGTTGAAAAGGCGGCAAAGGCAATTTCGGGGAGGGAGAGTGAGTCCGGAGAAGCAAGTGGCTTCAGCAAGGAGAGCCTCTCCCAGAGACACGGGAAGCTCTGAGCACCTGTTGGTCCCCAGACGCCTTAGGAGGGACTGGGGGCGTAGAGGAGGGGGGAGTGGGTTTGAGCCCTGAAAGAGGAAGATGGTAGACCCTATCGTCACACCTCCCGCCTCCACCCTCCACTCTGAAACCTTGACAAAAAAGATTTTTTGTGTAATGTGTGTAATCGTAAATACATAATATTACATATGTCATATATATTAAATACACACATATATTAAAGCCAGGAAGGAGACCTTCAGAAAGCTGGGAAGTCTGAGTCGACCCTCCTCGATTTACCTTTCCTGAGGATCTACCGCAAAGACACCGACTCGAAAATGCCAGAGCCCGACTCGGGCTCCTTTCTCCCAACTATGCCCAAGTCTACCGCTAGGCTGTTGAGCGGGCTCTCCCGCTCCGCCGGACGTGCAAAGCACGCATGCACTTCTCCCAGATTGTTTTGTCAATCCGGGGACCTGCATTCTCACTCTCCACTCTCGAACAGCCCCCGTTTCCCAAAGATCTATTCCTTCTGTGCAAGTTGAGTGACGGAAATTTGCAACGTCTGGTTTCCAGGCCAGATGCACTCGGTTTACCGGTCAGGGGAGCCTCCTAGGGAGATTCTCCAGCCGTTGGTCTGCTATAGCGATTGCTATAAACATTCCTAATAAAGGTGTACAGGAAGCTAGACCCGACCCCTGGAGCCCAAGCCCCCAAACGTCAGGCACCCAGAAGAACACTTTTTCCTTGATCCCCGGGAAGCAAAAGCGAATTTTAACATAAACATATTTGCATACGCCCCTCCCCTTGGCCCCGCCCCTAGGTGGCGCGGGCGCGCCGCCTAACGCCAGCGCCAGGGGGCGGGGTGGGGGAGGGAGCGAGTCCTCCGAGAGCCGGGTTGGGCTCGCGGCTCTGCGATTGGTCGGCCCAAACTCCGCCTCCACTGCATGTCATTAGCATCTTATTAACTGCCTGCTCCGGCTCGAGAGGAAGCCGCTGCCGCCAGTCTGAGGCAGGTGCCCGAAATGGCGAGTGCTGTGCTGCCGAGCGAGTCCCAGTGTGCGGTGGCGGCGGCGGTGGCGGCGGCGGCGGCGCCTTCCGGGCTCCGGCTCCGGCTTCTGCTGTTGCTCCTCTCTGCCGCGGCACTGATCCCCACAGGTAGGTGTGGGCACCGTCCGGTTGGCCCCCTAAATCTCCTAATGCACCCCAGTAGCCGTAGCCATGGAGGGGGGAAACGTTTCCATGACAACCTTCCCCCACTGCCTAAATCCGAAGCGGAGAGAGTGTGGAGAGGAAACTCAGCTGAGATGGAAGGGGCTGAGGGGATCGGTGATCCCCCTTCTCCCTTGCCCAGCTGGGTGTGAATTAGAGCCCTTAGGGATGGCTGCACCCACACCTTTTCTCCCCGGCTTGGCGCGGTGTGCGGAGTGGAGTGAGAATGGGGGCCCGGGGCTAGAGAATATGGGGGAAGGGAATGAATCGAAGGCACCCCCCAAACCTTCCGGACCCTCCCGAACTCGCTGTTGTCCCCGTAACTTGCAGGTCCTCCCGTCTCCCAGGGCTGCCCATTCGCCCCCACCTCTCCAGTGGGCCCCCCGGTTCTCCATTCCTGAAGCCTCCCGATGGCTGAATAGAGCCGCCTCCAGCGTGAGTCCTCACTGGTCCACAGGACATCCCCAGACTTGTCTGACCGCTCCAGGTCTCCCCGCGCTCTGCCTTTCTCCCCTTGTCCCCGGAACTGCGCGCCCCTCGTGTCTCCCTCCAGCCGGCTCGCGGCTCCTTCGCCCCCTCCGCCCGGCTGCGGGTCTCCTTGGCCCGGCTCCAGGCGGGGAAAGTTCCCGGGGCCCGGCCCCGCGGGGGGGCGGTTGCTGTCGCCGCCTCTGCGGGAAGGAACCGGGAGCCTGCAGCCCGCGTGCCCCACGGCGTCCTCCGCGGCGAGTGGGGACACCGGATTTCCAGGCTGCCTGTCCTTTTCGGCAGTCCGGGGGTGGTGGAGGGAGCGTTCGCGGCCTCTGCGGCCAGGCGAGCACCCTGTGGGCCTCCAGGCGCCCCCTGTGTGCAGAACTGTCTTGGGAATTTGCCCAGGGGCGGCTCTGCACACTCGGCGCCTTCCCTGAAGACGCTGAGCACTCGGCAGGAGCACGATGTGTGGCTGCCCGTGTGCTGGGCGCGTTGGCGCGGTCGGGAAAGAAGAGGGCAGTGTTTGCTTTTGTTAACAAAAGGGAGCTGGAGCTCTTCCCCAGCGGAGAGGCCGGCCGTGCTGCACCCTGCCTCCCTTTCCCGCCACCGCCGCGCTTGGCCGCCGCGCAGCGTCCCCGCGCCCCCGGCCGCCTGCTGCAGGCTCAGGGCGGGGAGCCGGGACCGAGAGGCACGGGGCTGCGAGGGGACGGGGAGGTGCAGGAGGGGATGCAGCAGGGCTCGGCGCCTGCAAAGCCCCTCCTTGCAGCTCAGGAGCTGCAGGACCCGCCAGCAACAAGTGGCGGAGGACACCGAGAACTCAGCCCCCACCTGCTGAGCCCCCGGCCCGGGCGGGCGCAGCGCTGAGGCCACCGTGCCGCTCCCGGGGCTCCTCTCCGCTTGGGCTGTGCCTTTTGTTTACACGCTAGAGGACACACAGTTACGTAAACACCGCAGGAGACACGCTGTAGGAAATGGGGATGTCTGGGGTGCTATCTTTGGATTTGGGGGACGCCGGGTTGGGTGCTTCCCCCCAAAACAGGCTTGCAAGGGAGCTCGGCTTGGGGAACCTATTGGGTATGTGCAGGGTTGGGAAATCTGGCAGCAGCTTCGGTTCCAGAGCTGATTCCATGCCACTATCTGTCTCCGGGTGTTGTTTATGTGTTTTTCCTCTGTGAATTCTTAATTTATGAGTTACGAGATAATTGGGTTCAGCCGATGCCGCTGTGGTTACAACTTCATTTCGGGTGATGTCTCTGACTGGATGGGTTCAATAAAATGTGCCTGAAAGAGATCCCTCGTGCTGCTGCATTGTAAAAAGCGCCAGTGTCAGTTAAACGTGAGCGCGAGTAAAGGCTCGGTAACTGGCGCATAATAGAGGCAACAATAGACTTGTATTGGCTGCAAAAAAAAAAAAAAAAAAGAGAGGGGAAAGCGCTGGTCGGGGATATTGCCTTTCGACTAAAAATGGGAGCCGTGCAGTGCCGCTTGGCAGCAGAGTAGGATTAGATTATACGTCCTCCGTCGAGCCTGCTCATTGAAGGCACTGGGTAGTATCAGCACTACTGTATTTGTAACTGTCTCGCGGTAAGAAGTTGCCTTCCCAGCGAGGGATATATGCTGACTTAGAAAGGAGCGGTCTGGAACTCAACCATGCATGTCAAAGCTACAAGAAAATTCTGTTGCCAGTTACCATGGAAGCAGCTTCTTGCTCTTGTGTACATCCCTGTTTGTACTCTGGTTATCAGATTGTGTTCAAATTAGGAAGTAATTGGGTTTGATTTGTAGTGAGGGGGTGGAGATGACTTTCTTTAAATCTTTTTTTCTTTTAATGCCTTTGTGTGTGTGTGTGTGTGATGAGTGTGAGCAGGGGTCTTGGCCTAGCCCCGGGTCCTAGACTCAGAGAGTAGATTTCAGGTGGGCACCGGGGGACTTTTCTTCCTTAGTCCTTTTAGTTTAAGCTTTGTCAGAAGCCTCCAGTTCCCACTTCCAGGGTTAGAGAAACCTGTTGGTGCTGCCTTCTGACTTCATTAGGCTTGTTTTCATTTACATCTTTGCTGGGATAGTGATCTAGGGCCATTGTGCAGTGGGTCCTGGTTGTGTCTTTCCTGTAGCTGAATCCATCCATCCACTGGAGAAAATCTCCCATCCCTCCTGTGGTGTTTGGATGACATGGATGTTAATGAGATACAACTAAAATGGGGTTGTCTAAGCTCACTCCTCAGTGTATATCATGCCTGTTCTGTTTAGGTGGATGCATGATGTTGTTTTTGAGCCTGAGTGAGCCAGTGGTGGATCACCCTTCTCAGCATTGGAGAGGATGGCTGATGGGTGGGGGTTTGTGGTGGTGAGGGGAAGCCCTGGGGCTGAGGTTTCCGGGGCTGAGGTTTGCTCTTTGTGGCCTGTTGGGGCTTGTATACCGGGGATAGGGACTTTACAAAAGTGCCGCCCTGCTGTTGTTGCCTTTCCCTGCATCAAATTGAATAGCCGCGGGAGGGACTTGCACTTGTCTGTGATAGCTTGGATAAAATATCCCTCATTAATGCCACTTTATATTTACAGTGTGTCACTGGAGACGCACAAGGCTTCATTTAGTGACTTGTGTGACGAGACAAGCTTGCATTATTTGCCTGGGACATTTTGGAGGAACAAGAGACCCATTGAGCAATCTTTTGAAATGAACAAATACGGAAAAAGGGGGGAATAAAGGAGCAGGCAGTTCTTCGGAACAAAGAGCTTTATTCATATGGATGTTGTACATGCTTTATCCAGTTTTCCCCAATGGCCCTCCTGGTAAAGGGGAGTGGGACAGGGAAGAAGCCAACAGGCAGGACACTTTCGCTTCTTCTCTCACTTCCTGACTTCGTATTCTTATCTGAGTTGGTCCTGGACTCTCTGATGCTCATCTCGATCCACTCCCTCTAAAATCCCAGAAGGTAACGGATTCCTGGGTCTGAAAGGGAGATTTTGAAATCCTTTCTCCCAGCTCTGAATTTCAGCAGAAGAAATTGCTAGCTACCTGTTGAGATTGATGGTCATTGGAGGATATATTGGTTGAAGGGAAAGAGATGTCACTTTTCTATGACATGTGTCAAGAAGTGGTTGATAGCGAATGTCAGATTGGTAAGATATCTTACAATTATAATATTAGCCTTAGTACTTATTTTTAAAGAAATGCTGTGAAAACTAAAATCCAAAATTTTCATTATTATTAATGGTACTCTCGGAGTTTTTAGTGACTTTTGCCCACACCTGGTATATTTTAGCCTCATACATAAGTGAATTTTTACTGTTCCTTGGCCTATATTGCTAAATGATTTTCAGGCTTTAAAAAATTGATAATATTCCTGTGAATATGAACTGTCTCATTCTCTGGGTTTCTATATGTGACATTTTAATGCTTAATCGGCCACTTAGAATTTACATTTTAAAAATGGTTTTGTGTGTGTGTGTAATAAAAGGCCTATTTTTATGTGGGGAAATCTCTTAAATTGGGCCAAATTAATTGATGCTATGATTTGAGTGGAAATTTACCAGCATACGAAGAAAATTTATAAGAAATAAATCCAAAGGATTCAAATGCTGTATCTTTTTCTTGAGAAGAATACTATTGACTATTATGCTGGGCATTTTTAACTGAAAATTCAGCACAGAAAGGAGAAATCACACAGCGACATCTGTTGCAGAATTGAAAATTTGCTCCTTTGAGTTGGAAGCAATTAGTCCCATATAAGCACCTAATGGTATCAGTTAGTGGTGTGTGTGTGTACTCATACAAATATAGATATATATTCACTTATATATACACATATATGCACATATACAGAAACTCACCCAATACAATATTCATATTTCCATTTTAGGATATTTATGAGAAAATGTGACCTTTTAGCACCAAAGCTCCTTTTCTTAATATTACCTGTTGCAGAATTAGAGATTCTTGTAATCATGGAATTTTTGAAAGGGGAAGCATATTAGAAATCATCTCGTGAAATCCTATTATTTTGCAGTGAGGCAGCCAAAGCCCAGAGAGGGAAGGACCTTGCCTACCCTTGAACTGAGGCTGAGTTAGCTACGCATCCAGGACTGATATCCTGGATATCCAGCTGGTGAACCTTGTGTTCTACCTCCCAGCAGGGTTGCCCAGTGAGGGATATGGATCTTGGGTGTGGATCTTGGCTAAGAATAGTTTGTATTCAGAAGGCAGCAAGATTAATTGTTGCTCTAGCTAATGACCCATGAATTAGATGAGTGACCTCTGGGAAGAAGGGACCAGTTCTTGGTAACGTTGTTTTTGGTGATGACAAATGATTCTGAAACTTCTGGACTTGATTTGGCAGCCACAACATGAATGTCGTCCAAAACACCTTCACAGGGAAGAGCTCTGGATTTGTGTCGCTGTAATAAGTCAGATGCGAGAAAACTAGGCTTCAGAAGACTCAGCTTTAGATTTTTAAGCTTTTTATTTGTCTTTTCAAGGA